GAGAATTAGCTCTGCATCTCTGGTAGCTTAATAAAGCACTTTAAGTTTTGCTCTTTTACACTTACACTTAAAATGGTTGCTTAAAATGGACAAAGGCCTTAATGCTCAGTTGCACCCATTGGATGCCACACTGCTTCAACAAATCCACTGTAAAGAAACTACTGTGGTCCTGAACAGTGGAAACAGGAAAATTTGTAAAAGCAGTATATTTGCAATAACAGAAAATATACTTCCCATTATTCTTTAGATATTTCTTTGTAAAGAACATGCACAACTTACACAAAATAATATACTCTGCCATTATAAATCTGATTGTGCCTGGGCACAGAGAAGCGTCTCACCCCAGACTGGCTTGAACTGGCTTCAAAGTAGACAGTCCCCAGTGTCCCTGGGCTTGTTGAAGTATGAATCTGAAACATACAAATGGGAACATAGTACAAAAGATTGATTATATAAACACTACATACTGTGCAATATACCAGTAATAGTATTCTGCATACTATGCAGTTTTTACTTTCACCAAATCCATCCATCCATTGTCTATACTGCTTTTCCTAAAAAGGGTGGCGGGAGGCTGGAGCCAATCCCAGCTGACATTGGGTAAGAGGCGGGGGTACACCCTGGACAGGTCACCGGCCTATCACAGAGCTGATACTTATAGACAGACACCCACACACACTCCTACAGACAATTTAGAATCACCAATCAACCTAAGCTGCATGTCTTTGGACTGTGGAAGGAAGCTGGAGAATCCAGAGAGAACCCACGCAGAACTCTTCCTTTTACCATTGTGAACCAGTAGTTTACAAATGGTTTTGAGCAACGCTACAGTTAATTTTGTCATTAGTCCAAGTGATGTTTGGCTTTAAAGCGGATATCTTTCAATACAGTATTTTTTTTACTGTATGCACTATAGTTGCTGAGTGAATAGTTTAGTTCCCTTTTACAAGATTCTTGTTTTATAACAATTCTGCTAGATGCATCAGTTTGAGGTTGACATGTTTAACAAACCTACGGGGCAAAGAATAATTTGCAAGTTAGCTAATTAAAATGCCACACACAGTTGGCTGTGGTGTGTGACTAAATATGTGAAGCCTGTGTTTGTCTTCCTGTCTTGAATTCACAGACCGTATATAAAGATCCATCTATGTCTGGGATCACTGTCCGAATGGTTTAAAAACTACTGCAAGTACTCGCTGAGTGGTAGGCCTACTGTTAAATCTGTCACTGCAACAGAAACTAATGGGGGGAGCTTGTAGTTAGCGTAAATAAATCCTCACATTACTGAGAATGACAGGAATCAGGTGAAGACAACATCAACCTCAGCTCCCTTTACTCATCTGTACACCTGTAGCCTACTCACTTTTCAGTCAGTTCAACCTCATCTCAGTCTCAAGAGCTTACAATCAGCTTTTACTGTCACACGCTCTGACCAGCTTTGTGCTTGTACGCCACTCATCTGTTCAATGACTGAACATTTTTCAGTGGGAGAAAGAAAACTGCACTCATTCAGACCTTTTCTCATCCAGTTTGTCCCGCTTTCATACCCCAGTGAATGTCAAGTGTACTCATAACATGGGTAACGTTGTATCTACTGAGGTTTAGAGCTCTGACTGAATCGTGGGCTTTTAGTGTTGTAATGACTGTAATTACATGTCTTTTTCCATTGGTTTTTATCCATAATAATACAATACAGTATGGTAAACCCAAATGTGCAATAAAACCATTGTTTTCTTTTTGCTGTTGATAATACAGAAATACAGTTTTTGTTTGCAAATTGAAGATGCTGGGAAAATGCTGAATAACCAACAGGTCAGCTTGCAATAAGAATGGTGGTGCCATCAGCTGTGTGGGGTTTACAGCCTATTTGGGCCAAATCAGTAGCCCAGGTCCGAGTGCTGCTGGTGAACCAGTTGAACATTTCATGTAAAAGTGATGAGTTACTGCATATTTATTCTCCATCTGGTCTGCTAAGATAAAACCCTCCGCAAAGCACCCTGCATTATTAAAACATCTTCACGCGCATTGTTGTGTTACCATAGCAATCAATTTAGTAAAAATGCAGTAAAAGCCACTTGTGAAGTCATGTATTTCAGCTGTGTATATGGAAACCTCTTGTGTATTTTGATCTAAATGAGCCTTGTTAGTAGAAGGTGTCTGTCACTGTTAGCCTGCTTTTCACAACGTTTCCATTAGCACCTACACAACAAGGACACATTCTGATCCACTCATGTTTTCCTGCTGTGCTGTGAAATGACACTTATGACACTGGGAAATTGGAGCTGATCTAGAGCTCTGTATTTTCCTCCTCAGCCTGCATGTCATAAATCTCCAGCTGGGAAGTATGTCTCCACCTGTAAACACTGACACCTGTTGTATAGATGTAATCAGTAATTTTTCAGTTTTTACAATAATGTGGAAAATGAATTAATTACATCACTGACACTCTACATAACATGGTCATTTATGAATGATACTATTTTGTGATTCTATATAAGTATTTTGGTGAGAATGTGGCTTGATTTAGTAAAATCTCAGCCACAATGTGGTCTAAAATTAAAACTAGTTTCCAATATAAAGTATGAATGTCAGTTTTTAGGCCTACTTCCTGTTCTGTACTTTTATTTTGAAAGCATTTCCTATACATGTCATCTTACCTGCCTCAGCTTCACTCTGGCCTTTGATTATCACTCATTGCCTTGGTCTATTGCTCAGTCACCATTCTCCTTGCTTCCCTCAGTTAGGTGGCTGGTTCATCTGCACACCACACTCTGCTTTGCTCCTGTTGCTCCTGGATCATTGTGATCATCTCCTGTAAGTTCTTGGACTCTCCCCCTTGCGCCTCATCTTGGTATTTGGGTTTTTTTTGTCATCTTTGTTCCCTTTGGTTCATTAGTCTTGTTGCATGTGTTTTCAGTTTCACTGTATTGCTCCCTGTTGGAGCTATAGTATTTAGTTTTCTTCAGATGCCGTTGTGTTACATTTTGTCAGGTTCAGCTCTTTATCTGATCTGTTTGTCTTTTGTTTTGTGTTGCTTATATTAAACCTTATTCGTGTCTCCCCTGGCCTGAACCCTGACAAAGTGTATATAATAAATGGAAATGTTTACCAATAAAATTCTTTCCACTTCAATAAACTACTAAAATTACCTTGATGTTGGCAAACTGATAATGAGATGAACATCTACAATGTTATTTGCTGACAAATGTGGCGGTGAATTTCAATACTTCACCAGATCCATGGCCACATTTCATAGCCAGCAAGGCTAAATCATTTTCTCCATACACAGAGAATCATTATGGTTTATTTAGAAACAAGTTCTCCTCAATTGACAAAGCAGTAGTCAAAGCTTTAAAGTACCCTGAAACTAATTCAAATCACACAAAGTAGATCACGTCCTCAAACAACACTGAGATTAACAAGATAGCTGTCTGGCTCACTGAATCTATGCTGATATGCCACATGGGACCAAGTGCATCAACCTCATGCCTCAGCAAGTCTCATTAGAGCCTGGACTAAAATCTATAGAGACAAGAGGTAGCAGCTTTCTATTTTGATCCTCTGTCTCTATAAACCCTTTACACACTGAGTTAACCTCACCTTTTCATTGCAAAATGTGAGGAGAGAAGGAGAGTGTTGCTTTTCAGCCAACAAATCAATAACATGCTGTTAGCACTGTGGCTAAGGCAAGAGACCTGCATGCATGGTATATTGGATTTAATTTTAATAATCATTTTAATAATCTTTGAATTACTGGTAATCTAATCTGCTGAAATGTCACAGTTACGGAACAGTTTTGAGCAGAAGCTGTCTAAACCTATTCTACTACTGAAGGTGGCATACAATGTTTCTTCATTTTGATAAATGTGAAACCTGTTTTCAAGGGAACACCAAGATGTTTGTTTTACAAACATCCAAATTACTGATTTATCTTTAATGTGTGCTCCTTTCCTTGGTGACTGCAGACCCCCAGAAGCAGTGTCTAATAATAGTAACACAGGAGAGGCTCTGTGTGTCTTAGATACCGGCAGTACTGTGATCTGTTATAAGCAAACCATTTGTACAACTGGAAATGAAGTTATAGCGATAAAATTAAAAACATAGGGCATCAACAAAAACAATCCCAAAAATGCTCAGTTAAGAAACATGAGCAGACATGCATAAATATTCAGCTCCAAATCCTGTATAAAGCTTTTAGGAACGACAGTAGTTTTAGAAAAACTACTTTCTCATGAATATTCAAATTTATGCAGCAAGATGCTACAACTGATCAGCTCATCTAGTGCATGATTATGTTCAGTACAGTGGTATGCTGTGAATACTTTCAAAGAGCTGTGCACAACCGAAGGTCTGTGATTCATCACGACACAAAACCACTGATTACACGACAAAATGTGAAATGATTGAGGTATCACATAATTGGTGTTTGATGAAGGTAATTAGGTATTTTGTGAAACATGCTAATTGCCACAAATTGAAAAGACCTTGCCCAGCTGCTCTGCTTATTAAATATTATGTAAGTGGATTTGTTTGGCTAATGTCGCAACCCTTCCACTACTGGTATTGTTGATGTGACCAGTGGTGAGCACTTCAAACAGCTCAGTGGACTAAAAAGGGGTATTTGCTACATTTACATAGCAACCGAATCTCTGTATTAAAAAAAAAAAAGAAAAAGAATCAAAATACAGTAGCTCAGGTTGTTTCATCATTCATGAAAACCTACTGCCCTCTGCTGTACAAACCCTGAAAGACTTGTGCTGCAACAGTCTATGATGTTGCTCAAATAGCAAGGTTGAAAATAAAGTTGATTTTTGAGCACTCTTTTGTTAATCAACTTTCTGAAAATAGTTGCAAAAGTGCATCATAGTTTCCAAAGACATTTCAGTCCTCAGGCCATGATGAATCTCAACTGATGGTCTTACAGCTAAAACACTGTACAGTATATGAACAGCCTTTAGAATTAAGTCTCACATCTGAAACTCAGCAATTCAAAATTTAGCGTACATCATTGAAATAATTTATTTAATATTCATATATGGTAATATAATGGATTAATGATGATCAACATATAAAATATGTACAGAGGCAATCATTACTAAAAATGACAGATCCTGCTGGGGAAGTATATAATGTTAAAAGGTGGTAAAATTTCAGCAAAGAGTTTTTCTTCATATAGCAATCATTGATCCTGATGTGTAGTTTCTAGTAGATCATCAGCACATCTTGAAGTCTAAATGGTCCAAGATTACGAAAGGCTACAGCTGGACTGTTTGGGCTCTCTCCCCTGGAAAAGAGACGACACAGTTAAAAAGCGTTCATCTCACATATTTCCTTTAACGCTTAATAAGTGTATCAAAGGCAGATTAGTCTTTTATGGTCTGCCAATAAAGAGAGTTCAGAGAAGGTGTGTTGCCACAACAACAATATACCTACATGTGTTCCTGTTAGCATGCTACTGACGGCTAAGCTTTCCAGGTACCTGTTGTCTCTGCTGCTGGCGTCTGTACTCTTCTTCACTGGCAGCGAGAGCCTGAGCGAGAGCCAGATCCTCCTGCTCCTGAGGGCTGAGACACAATCAAAAACCCTCAAGACTCAAGACACTTCGTGGAAAAACAACCAACAAAAAAAACCTCAAGGTTAAACCTGGGAATCCTGCACTTATTTACAGTGCTCTCTCACTAGTGTTTGTCAAACAAATTATACACACAGTGGTTTTAACTGATGACAATGTCTGAACAGCTGAATAAAAATCTATAAATATGTGAGTGTCTTCCCACTAATGAAGACTGAAAATGATTCATCATTTTGGAAATAACAGTTAAAGAATCTCAACATAAGATGTACTCGGCTCACATGTTGCATTATTCAATATGCTGGAGACTCACAGAGAATGAAAATGAATGAAATAAATAATTTAGTCAACTGGTAGATAATTAATCATCTATTGACTAATTCCCTTTTCAAGCAAAAAATTGCTAACATTACATTTGATTCTTTTGTTACGTGATAGCATACAGAATATTTCAGGATACTGGTTGGACACAAGCAACATTTTCACAATTCCCTAACATCGGTGTTGCTGTCAGTTTTAATTCAGTGTTTTTTCTGCCACTCCCCCCTTTGAAACTGAACAAATTTCACACCCCTCTTGCACCTTTGTGCAAATCATTTGGCTCTTTAATGAACAGAAACAATATCATGGAAAATAACAGCAACAGACTTTTTGGATTTCATGTGCTTTTCTGTCTGATAAATCTTACCAGTGTGAAATTGGACAGCCCTGCCATCACAGCAGTGTTGTTTAAATGGATTCATTAAATATTGCAATACACTCCACATTTTCCGTACTGATCTCACACAAACACACTTCAATGACTCTCTTTTGAAACCACAGTTATAAGCTGAAGGTCAATGAGGAAAAATACTCCTCCACTCTCAGCAGCATCACACCAACATGAGCGTGTTACAAGTGATGTCGAGCCAATAATAATACATTTCTGGCACTATGGGTTTTGATGAATTTTACTCACCTAAGGGCTGGCTGGACTGGCTGCCTTGAATCAGCCAAAGACATCTCCAGAGCCCTCTGTAAAGCCTGCTCCTCTGTCTGCAATGATACCAGCACACTCATGTTTACATTTCACTCCTACCAGGGATATTTTAATCAAGTGATGTTGTGTAAATAATGTGCATACCATGCCGGCATGAAATGATGCCGAGGGTGGCATTACATGCTGTGCTGAAACTGAAGTAGGAATCCGTGGGGTAGAACTAGGATGAGCAGAAAAAAAAAAATAGGACAAGAGGTGAAATACTGTTTCAGTTGATTAAAAAAAAGTCATTAGAATGATCATTTTCATAAAACACTTGGAATCAGTACAAATGCTTACCCACTGTTGTGGCCTATGTTATTTGCACTCACACCATTAGAAAGAGGTCTAGAGTTGCCTGTAGCAGAGGACCTAGAACCAGAAGCTGAGGAGGAGGAAGCAGCGCCTTGTGCCCTCATTACAGCAGCATGTCTTGAGATTTTAAAAAAAGTATATCACTTAACTATTCTTTCTGTCATATTTCAGATGAGAGAACAACATTATCTGAAAGCATAGTGGGATTATACCCACCCAGATTTGGACAGGGGCTTTCCATCAGTCTTACAATCATGGTCTAATGGGTGCCGGTGTTTAAGACAGTAATTTAAATGGCACTGGTCACAGGTCACTCGTATCATTTCCTTCTGCTTACAGCCTCCCTTAGAACATTTATTTGTAAAAATCTGTAAAGAAAATGGGGAAAATTGTCTTCAGTTATTTTTATTATAATTCATCATCTAACTCTGTGCACAGTACAATCATAGAGTATTAAAATCACACACCTTTCTCTTTCTTTGTGCAGGGTCTGATTTGCAGTCGCGATCAATGTGTTCACCAACTTTAATGTCGGGCATTTCTCCTCTTTTGATGGGAATGGGTGTGTTGCACAAAGGGCACACTGGAACCTGAACATCCTGGAAAAAATGATGTTTAAAAAACCCCCACTGGATTAGTATTTAATTAGTTTAGTAATACATTTATTTAACACGGACAATGCGTATTAACTACATTTCTGTCAATATGACAGAGTTAGCCAAGGAGACAAATTTTCATCTGAAGTCCTGAGTACATAAGAACAAAATACAAATTATAGCAAAGGCTCAAATGCAGTATGGAACCAGCCAGGTGCAACACAAAAACAATAACATACCTACATATATACAAACAACAATGCTAAACATTACTACCACTAGCATTACATAATAATATAATGCTACATAATTTATATATAAAAATAGATTTAAAGGGGGTAAATATGTATACTACAGCTGTTGTCAACTATAACATTAAGAATCACAAGGAAAAAGATGTGAAGACTGTCAACACATTGTACAAGATGTACTGAAAGAGACATCAATTACCTTTCTGTAAGATGATGTGCACTTGTGACTTGCATAGGTTATGTGGTCCTTGCAGAAAATCTCTTGACAGGCGTCACATCTCATAGGAAGAAAATCTGTAATGTCAAGTAAAGTTTGAGATTTCACGATCAAGTAAAACTTACATTAGAATGAACAACAGGATGCCAACATGTTTTTCTAAAGGTACACACCTAAACATTTGCAGGTCTTCTCTGAGCAGTGCTCTCCTAAATCTGGAAACTCCATCGCTAGAAAAAAAAAATCCTCTACAGCTGACAGTGGAGAAATATCAGTATCCTGAAGGAGGAAGAAAAGAAAAAGTTTTAAACAAACTGTGGCAGATGAAGTGCTGTGTCAGTACTGTAGGACCATGGTTCTTCTTACCATTGCTAACTCTGAGAGACGAGACAGTCCAAGTAACTTCAAAACAGTGCTGATTTATTCAAAGGATCACAGGTAAAATTAACATTACACGCTCAGGTAT